CCTGACGAGTCCGGATTAATGACTTTTGACTGTACATATATTTAAATACTGTTTCAAATAAAAATAATAAAAGTATTTTTCAATAAATTTATTACATTATAATGAAAAACAATAGAAAAGTAATATTATTAAGTTATAAAAAACCAAAACAGCAACAGTATGTAAAATAATGTTAAAATCTGATGGAAAATTTAATTTAGTGGGGTATTTGCATTTGTTTTTGCCTGAAAGTAATTGAATATTTGTATCAAGCTTTATAATACACAGCCTTAGTAAATTCTCTAACTGAGTATCTGTAACTTGTGTTCTTAAACTAGTTTTTAATTTTTGTCATGAGAGAAAATGCTGACTCGCAGCTGTAAATACTTCCAAAACTGGAAAGTAAACAACGTGCATGTTATGCATATAGATTCAACAGTATTTTTTTCATATTTCTACAGGATTCTTTTTAGTGTTTTGAGAATACAATCTTCCTTAACTCAAATAACTTCCTTTATAGTTCTGCAGGCACTTTGGATATATCTATTAAATGTGTTCAAATGACGGTTTCATAGCAGAAGTGTGCTCGTGAAAATCTAAAGTCTTTCAATATATTCTTCTATTAAAAAATTCAAGGCACCTACACATTTATCAAATGTTTTATTTTTACATTTTTGCTAGCTACGGGAAGTGCTCTGCAAATATATCTGAGCAAGAGAGCAATGTTTTTGATTTTCTTTGAAAGGCTTGGATCTTTTGTCACATTTCATATATATGCTTCATTTTACCTTGCAGGCAAATATTTAAATTCTTTTTTTTTTTTTTGGTCATAAAATCAGACAAAAATGCAATTTTTTTTTTGCAAAATGCTTCATCTGATAGATCACATAGATTTCCCTGCTTTTTGATAAAAGTTTAAAATGTATCGTCGTAAAGTTAAAACCTTTATCAAAACCTAGCCTGCTGATAGTCAGTGAACCTTGCAGTAGTAAGGTAGATAAACACTGTATGTTTCCTCATCTAAATTTAGCATCTGCTGAAATTCATGATGATGCATTACATTTACACGAATATAGTTGACGACTGAAATAGTTCTATCCAGAATGTCTTGCAAAATGGTTATTTTTGTGCAAAGATTTTCCTGATGCAAAACAATGAAATGATATCAATTTTTTCAAGTTTTCCTTTTTTAACAAAGCAATGAATCCTTCTTTTTTACCTCTCATGGAAGGTGCGCCATCGGTGCATACACTAACTAAATTACTGATATTTAATTGTAATCAATGGCATATTTCTCTGAAGTTTTTGAAAATTTCAACTCCATAAGTTCTTCCAGTGAGTGTAAACCAGTGTAAAAGGTTCTTTGTAACACTTTAGTTTTGCACCGGGTCAGTTTTATCAAATACATTCACCTAAAGCAATGAAAAATAAAAATCTTCATTTTGTATAATTATACAAAGTTGGTCTGTTACATTTTCAGCTAATTCGTGCTGCCATATAGTTCTTGAAAGAGGCAACTGTTTGGATTTATTAACTTTTCCTGCATCTGTCATACCTAGCTTCAACAATACATTCTTTAATTATTTCTACATCACTAAATGGTCTACCTCTTTTTCCAAGTATATGTGCTATTTTATAAGTAACAGCAACTGCAGTGGTATTTTTCTTTACAAAAGCATTAAAAGATGCCTGTTGATGATGCTTTTTATTTTCCAATTTTTGAACTGCAGTTTGTCTAGATTCACCTTCTAAATTGAAATACTTTTGTTCTTTATGAGTCAAATAGTGTTTATTTGGATCCACTTTTTTCAAAGTAGTCAAAACTGTATTGTACAATAAACATACCATTTTATATTTCACATAAGTAAAGAAATAATCTAACCACCACTCTACATTAAATTTTCTGTTTTCTTCATTTAATTTTCTTCTCTTACAATTTGACATAATGGAGAAAAAACAAATATCAAATAGTATTTTTAAGAAAGCATACACTTCATAAAAATACAATAAAACCATGTATTAGTAAAACCTCAGAATAAGCAAAACAATAACTAGATTTTAACTATGGCCGATAGCAGTATGAGACGAGATTGTTACAAGCACGCACAGATAACTACAAATCACCAACTCCACAATATATAGGGAAATGTTGAGGGATGCAGAGCATTATGAAAAAAGTAGGTACAGTCTGTCTCTCAGAACAGCCACCATCACGATATCTGGTGGGTGGTGGTTGCTATAGCAACACGATTAGTGTATTTCAAGTAGGGGTGAGCCACGCCCCCCCAAAAAAAGAATAAAACAGAAAAATTTCTATTGTTGGACACTGGAAACAGAAAAGTGTGCCAGAATGGCAATAATTTCAGACTATGAAAGACTACTAGAACTGCAACATTGCAGCATTCTACACTGGTGTGCAAAACTTAAGCAACAATGCAAATTTAAATCAGATAACCCTGCAGTTGCAGAAAAGGGGTTCTTGCTATCGGTACAATGAACACGCAATTCATAGAACGGTCCTCCTATGCAAATGTCAAAAAAAAACATAAAGGCTACGGATCGTACGCAAAACGTGTGCGTGCACTTGAGAATACATAACGGACGATGAAGAGCAAAAAGGCATTCGCCCGTACAATGAAACTCTTTCATGAATATGGCTAAGAAAATATCGATATTACAAGTGGAGAATGAGTGGAAACTGAGGGGCGTCGTGGACCAGTGTGGCTGAAGATTTCAGTCCACAAAAGTTCGTTTGCGAGCTGGAAAGCCTTCCAAACCCTAGGCAGCTATTAGAAAGGTTGGTGGTGGCCAGCAGGCAACAACTGCAGCAGATAACCGTTATGGTCCTAAGGTGAAAAGCAAAACCAGTACAAGATCCAAGCTCACAACTTGTGCAGCAACGCTACAATTTTGTGGTTTACTGTGCCAGACACCTTCACAAAGATGGCCTATCGCCTGATGTCTGCATCCCTTTGCAAGTGGACTTCGGCACACATTTAGCGTGGTGCAAGGAGACAAAAAATAGGCATCTCATAATGGAGTCGTATCCGCATTACGGATAGTCATTTAGTGCCCAAGCGTATTCTAACACCAACTTATTTGGAGAGAGGAAGAACGATTTAATCTCATAACATCACGAAAGAGACCATTACGTCCTGGAGACTCGTCTGGGGAGCATTTGTGAATAGGCGACAGAGCTCACTTTCGACTAAGTTCTGAACCCGGAGTCGCTATTGTGAGGAGGGATCCTTCCCTAATGTCTGTTTCGAGGTGCATTGACCAGACTACGTTTTATAGATGACAATGCATGGCCATACCGGACTCCGTGTTCAGAAGCTACTGAAAAGTGAAGATATCACTCAATGATTGGCCAGCGTACCCCCTGATTTAAACCCATAGAACATGGGAAGCTTTGGGGAGACGCCTTGAGGCACGATTTCATCCTCTGGCGAACCACCAACAAATGAAACATATGCTGATTGAGGAATGGGCATTCTCACCTCAAGATCTGTTGGACAATCTAGTATGAGTATGAGGAGAAGCCATTGCAGTAAGGGGAGGCATCCATACTAAGGAACATCTGCTTGTTGTTCTTCCTCTTATACAGACAATCTGTAGAACTATGAGTTCAATAAAGCCTGTTTTTGTTTAATTCCATACTGTATGCATTGTATCATTTGACAATTATGCTTTCGTCATGTTTAAATACAAATGCTGTCTCTTATTTCGAATTTCATGTCTCTCAGATGATATCTTGTGGATTTATGTCAAAAAGAACACCTCTTACTTAAGTTTTGCACACCAGTATAATTCATGTTATGCTCAATAGATAGCAGCACATTATTTAATTCTATTAATTTTCAAATTGTTGTAATGTATCTAATTAAATATTAAATAATACAAGAGCTAGAGGCTGCACGTTCCCCCACCTCTGGTTTATAGAAACCTTCACCAGAAAATGTAATTTTCAAGGGAACCCCATTAAAAGGGTGGGTGGTTGTGGAATTTCTGATGCAAAACCGTAAATGTTATATGCGCCAAAACACACATCAGACACTTTTGGATGCAAACTAGGTAAAAACACAAGTTATAGGTAGACACACAAGTTTAAAACCACAAGAAAGCCATAAAATCAAAAGGACTGATAATATGATGAATGCTGAATATAAGCACCTGCATAAAACTCAGTCGGAGTTATTAAAATATTTTAATCGAAGTCTGTTAAAATATGGGCATTCAACAAAAAAAAAAAAAAAAAAAAAAAAAGAAAGTAAGTGATTTGTAGAGATTTATAAACGTTATACCGTTCAAAGTAATCCAGTGCTCACTCAAGGAAACATCACACGAGCAATCCTATTCAATAAAAATCCAAGTCTTTTCAGAAGTCAAACAACAAAAACAGCTTATATTTTCAAAATTTTCAAATTTTTTTTTTTTTTTTGGGTTTTGCAGCTGAGGATGGTGGTTGGTAAACCATCGAAACTAGTCTTGTGAAAAATTTTGAAAATATGCTGATTTGTTGTCGATCTGATTGTATTTGTTCGGTGTATGGGTTAATTATCCGTTGTCTATTTCGCTGAGTGGCGAACGCAACACTTGCTTTTTCCACAGGTAAGAGATTTTTTATTTTCAATGTAATTTATGTTATAATGCTTAATGTAATCTTTGTTATTATTTTCATGAGAAAAGAATCATTCCTTGTAGTTTTGGCGGTTAATGGGTTAAGGGAACATGAGAAAGATAATTTCTTTTATTTGTACAGACAATTATGACATTAAATATTGCTTGAAAACATAAACAAAGATAAAATACATATAGCAAATTTAATTACATATGTAGTTGTATCAATACATTTTTTTTTAATATACCTGAGGATTAACCAGCACTTCCCATAACAAAGATTCAATGTAGTAATTTGTGCCACCAACTATGATTGGCATCTTGTTTTCTTTTAAAAGTCTATGTATCTTAAAGAGTTAAGAATAAAAAGTTAACATAACAAAATGCACTTTTAATATACAGCATTACTAAGAATAAATTTTTGAGATTTCATGCAGTTCCTTGAAATACATTCTGAGGATTTGTATACATAATTTATGGTGCATTATAAAATTCATTAACATGCTTACTATCTTTTTATAAAAAATCATCATATAAAATTATACTATAAAATTTCAAAATTAGAACCAGACAAGAAAAATGTGGTTAAAAGGAACATCTGAAAGCTAATATAGCATTTGCTAAATTAAAAATATTTCTTCTGACTTAATAACGTTTAGAGCAGGAGCTGTTTATTTCTGTGTATAAGCTGAGAATTACTGGAATTTTTTCTAAATTACTAATGTCCGCTTCTATACTGATCCAGTAAGCTCACAAAAAATAGAGGCACTTTACCATTAGCCAGGTGCAAGCAATAAATCACCAAATATCATACTTTTTTTATTTCTTTAGTTTATACATCTTAAGTTTATGAAAAATAAATAATAATAATTTCAAATAAAATGAGATATTTGTTTTTATGAAAATGAGTGGTTTTATTTTCAAAATTGCTTACAATATTGATTTGGTACATCACTGCCAAAATAAAAATCTGATGTGAAATTTGCACCCCACTTTTACCACTATAGAACTTATTTTTCATTTATGGAGAAAGGCTGAGCTGATATACTATTGCTAGAATTTTCACCAAATGCAATCACATGTAGTTTTAAATTTGCTGTATAAGAATTTCTCTTCACACTCATTTTTGACACAAAATATAAAATGGCACAGAAAATAAGACTAACACAGATACCACAGACCATTTACAAGATAAAAAAGAATGAAAAAAAAATGTGCTAGCTTCAGATAGGATTACCAGAATTAGAACTATCATCCTTGGTGTCTGGCATTTTTATTTTACAGTGATTTGACTGGAAAATAATCCACCCATTTTACCTGTTTGACAACATTTTTGCCCACATGGCAATATGTTTGAATGTAACAATTTTTTTTTTTTTTTTTTTAATTTTGGGTAACTTTTTAACATGTCAATAAGGAACTCGTTGCACTCAAAACATTATTTAGATGGTGCTAGTTGGGTAAAGGCAACACTGTGTCTTCTGATTTCCTTATAATGAAAGTAATTATTGAAGAAAATTTGATTTCTGAAGAAATTGTAACTGGCAATGTTTTAGATCAAGCATCACATACAAACTGAGCAACACTATCATCTACTTCAGGACATCTTTCTTTCTTTGGTCCAGTGAAAGACTTTGTTGAAGATTTATAAGCTAAAGTCATATCACATACATGGCATTGATGTACATTTGTTTCATCCACAATTTTCTGGCCACTGCTCTGCATATAAAATCACCTTCCTTTTTATAACTTGTGTCATAGTAAATTTGTCATCAAAGGTATCGTCATTACCAATACCTTTGATGTTTAGGTGATTAAAAAAAATTCCTAAATACATGCAGACAACGAAGTCCAGGATAGGCTGACTACTGAAGATAAACTGCAGAATGTGATTAATCATCGATGCAGGTGGCCAGAATGGAGAGTTACATTTTTTCCATTTGAAAGGAATGGAAATTCAATATTTCCCCATTAAAGGAATTCGATTCTTAGCCTTTTCCACCTTCGATTCCAAGCCTCCCCTCCTAATTTTCAGTAGCAGTCACATTGGAAAAAAAGTGTGGCTTAGATTTGAATAAACACATTAATTACTTTTTGTCAAAACAACAACTAGACTATTAAAAGGCTGTGTAATCTCTCCCTTCTATTTGTTATTTATCTGCATTCAATCTAAATCAGCACTACATACGTCTTTAGTAAAATAAGTAAACTATTTAAAACTTAAATATCTGAAGCAAGTGCAAAATAAACAAAAAGGAAAAAATGAACAATAATGTATGCTGAAAATAAATCACTCAAAGGATACCAGAGGCAAAGCTTTGTTCCGGAAGTCGACAACAGTATAGCGACTAAGAGGATCAACACAATTTATTAAATGATGCACTGCTTCTTTTTGCTCTTCAGGAGTTACTTTATTTGTTACAATATCTAAGCCTTTGTACACCTGAAAAAAGCAGATATGACTATAAATAGAAAAAACTGATTAATTTAAAAATTCAGTTACTAATAATAGCAGAAAAACTTCTTCATTTAAAGTATACTAATACTTTTACAGTTAAAGTTAGTATCAATATATTTTTATATTAACATAAAATAATGATAATTATAAATTATTTAATGATGGATATAATTTAATAATGATCATAAATTATCATACTATAAAATAATATTTATAGTTATGATTTGTATCTGCATCTAAATGTAGAAAGTAATTTATATACTATCACCAAGTAAGGACTTTTCAGTAGAGGAAATGTAAGTGGTTTATGAGATGAAGATGGCTAAGAAACAGAAAGATTTGAGTTGCTAAAAAAGAAAACAAGAATCCATGAGAAAGAAAATGCCACAATATTTTCTTAAGAATTTGATATTGGGAAGTTAACACTTCTTTTGAACTTCAACTGACTAAATCACTTTGCTCCCAGTCACTGTCCCTTTTCATTTTCCAACAATAAACATAAATATACACAAGAAAATTTTAAGGTGATCAGTTTTCGTTCTTTAAAGTTGGAGTTGGTGATTAATACATGAAAGATGCTTCAGGATTCTACAAAAAAATCCATAACATAACTATTCACAGGAACTATTTTGTGTATGCTGCACTCACTGCTGCTTATATGCTTGATTATCTCATTTCAGCAGTGTCACCTATCATCATGTACTTTACTTATATGACAGAGATGAGGGAACAACAAAATACTACGATTAAATAAGATACAATTAAAAACAGCTGAAACAAATATGCAAATTTAATATACCAAGTTAGCATGAACTACATAAATTATCAATTTATATGTAAATATGACATAATAATCAATTTCAGTGATTAATGTTCATTGAATTTTACTTGTCTACCAGATCACTTGTGTATTAGCAGGTTTCAGAGTCTCAGAATCTACTGAGGGTGCTGGGCTTTTCTGTTTCAGTCCAGGCTTGTTAGATGTAAGTATTGAAAACAAATGCTGATCTGACTCTAACATGTGAAAAGCTGACAAATTGCAGAATTTGTTTCAAAATGCCTATTAGCTGAAATCGTGATCACAATTTTTTACAGAAATTACAGAAAAATTATATATGGAAATCCATTTTTTGTAAGGCAAATTTATATATGTAACATTTAAATAATCTATAGCATAAATTAGAAGAACATGGAATGAAATTGCAGTGGATCTTTAAAATTGGATAAAAAGAACATATATGAAAATGCTCAATTGATAAAAAAATGTACATATTTATTTTGTGCATATTTCTAGATATTTATCTTGCATACATCCCTTTCCAAGGAAAAATTACATATACACATATGAAATAATGAAATAAAATATACGAGAAATCAGATTATATTTTTTTCCTCTCTAAATTATCCATATAAATATTATATATATAAAAATCCTCTGTGAAATTATAAAGTAAACAATAAAAATAGTTGGAAATACCTAATTATTTAAAATATGGAATTTATTTGCATGCAGGTTTATTTGTACTGACATGGTTACTATGAAATGCTATAAAAAAGCAAAATACACAAGAAAAATGGACATATAAAATTAATAAAAAATAGTTGAAAAATATGAATTACTTAAAACTAAATTTATTAGACTAGAAGAGAAACACGCTAATGTCACAATCAAAATCGTAAAAACAACCTTGTATTTAGCGTAAGTATATTGAAACACTCAATCAATTTCGAGGGCAGCTAAAGGTCCCTCCTCATCAGGAGAAAGAAATACCTAGCAAGAAGAAAACTAAAGGGGAAGGAGTTTCAGAAACACGTGCTCCTTATCAGTACTGCACGTGGTTATAACCGGATTTTTAATCAGAGTTACACTGGCCGCCTACTTTTACTGAGCCAGGCTATCTGATCAAACATGTAACACAAAAGACAAAAGAATTAGCGAAGTTCAGATTTTGAGCGTGAAGGTGCAGTTGCCCCTCGCTCCCTATTTTTAACTTCGCTAATTCTTTGTCCTTTGTGTTACATGTTTGATCAGATAGCCTGGCTCAGTAAAGTAAAGCGGCCAGTGTAACTCTGTTAAAACCCGGTTATAACCACATGCAGTACTGATAAGGACCACATGTTTCTTAGACTCCTTCCCCTTTAGTTTTCTTCTTTCTAGGTATTTCTTTCTCCTGATGAGGAGGGACCTTTAGCTGCCCTCGAAATTGATTGAGTGTTTCAATATACTTACACTAAATACAAGGTTGTTTTTACTATTTTGACTAAATTTATTAGTAATAAAATTTTTTCATACACAAGAAAAGATTTCCTAATAATAGCACATTAATTTATTTACCACTTATATTTAAAATAACGTATAAATAACTTGGCATAGGTCAATGTGTTTCAAATCATCATGAAAACCTTCATATTCCAAACAAGCATATGATTTCCAGCAATCGGATATTATTGTAGTTCCTGGTAGCATACATACTGCTTAAGACTACAATAAGCAGTCTTTGCTTCTGCCTGATACAACCTTAAAATTACACTTACCACTTCCTCTTTCAACCCAATCAAACATCATTTTATTTCCTTTCTTCTGTCTCTCTTGTGCCTGCCACTTTCACTAATTTTAACATCTACATCCTTACCAACAAACGTACTCATATCTTTTTCACAAAATTCCATGCACACTTCTCTGCACAAAGAATTCCAATCAACTACAGTGCAACTGCTAATTCCTAAATCTGAAATCCAGCAGTCAACTGGTAGCCAATTGACCCTATAGTATGAAATCAGCAAAATATCACCTATAGTCTAAACCCAATAAGAATGCCAGTTTTACTGCAAGCTATCGGCCTATCTCTCATACTTGCATCACTTGCAAATTGATTTGCAAATTGATTGAGAATATAGTGTTGCAGAGATTCACTCACCACTTATTTACTGTTGTTGCCCCTAGAACAATTTGCCTTCTGTAGAAGTCACTCTAATATTAACCAAACATTGTGCTTCACCTGAGTGTTAAAGATTCTCAGAATTACAATCCAATGAGACACACCGTAGTGGCATTTCTAGATCTGCCTAAAAGCCTTTGACAAGGTATGGAAATATAAGCTTCTAAATAAGTGCTTTGATGTTTTTAACATTAAAGACAGGGCAGTGCCTTGGATTTGAAACTTTCTGAACTTTTAATCCAATCAATCGGGCTATTACAAAATGTATCAAGGAATCCCCTAGGGCTCCATCACTCTATTCTCTTCATTTATTTATGGGATTGAAAAATGTAATAATCCTTGTCCAATAAGATTATTTGCTGGTATTGTTATTATGGTTCAGCGATTCCAATATTAGTAAAATAGAATTCCAATTGAATAAATTCTTAGTAGATGTCCAGGAGTTTGTGGATTAACACAAAATCACCTTCGATGTTTCTAAGTCTACAGGCTGTTTCTTCACTACTAACAGGCAACTCTATAACTACTCTCCTTAGCTTTTCCTAAATAGAGAGTGCTTGGATTATAATAAATATTTTACTTATTTTGGCTTCACTCTGCATCTTGAAGTGAAAAGTGCCAAGCATACTGAGAAATTAACTGATAAAGTTAAAAAAGAGGATCTTAAAATATATTTCAGACAGAGACTGGGGATCAGATTCTTCCCCTCTTAGAATTAATTATATTACCTTGGTCCCCCCTGTTCTTGGTATGGCTTTCAAATTTTCCAAGTAGCAGCTCCTACGAACTTGCAAAAAACTGGAGAGAGTTCAGTGCTGCAAAAATCATTACGGGGCCAGAGACCATGGAAAGTATTGGTCAACATATTATTTCCAAGTTGGATAGGCTCAGTCAGAGGAAACAAATGTTTCCAATGGATATCATCACATGTGGGTGTGCCTGGAAATGAGACCACTGATGGGTTGGCTAGGAGGGCTGTAAGCTCCCTAATCCCAGTACCACTGTCTTGTGTCCTTCAAAAATTCAGTCCTACATCAGAGTTATAGTGAATTCGACCTGGTAAACCCCTCCTGTTCACCTATGGTATGCAGCAAAGAGCACTGGTCTCTCTCTGCAGTGCAAATCTAGAGCCCTTCAGATGGCCTTGATGTGATTTCGTAACCGACACCTTCATCGTATGACCTTCATGCAGAGGGAAAAATCTTTCTCTGCTTGGATTTGTTCCCTCCCTGCTTCTCTTGAACTGTATGGGCATTTCCATGGGACAGTTCATGACTGAGCAGGGTTCTGTTTGTGATGCTCTTTTGCGACATGATCATTTGGACTTGGTGTATGCTTTCCCTCAACAGGGGGAGTGGAAATAAAAATAACATACCCAGTGAATCAAGTACTCTTTTTTTATAGTCTGTTTCACAAAGTACCCATTTTCATCAGAATTTCTACACCATGCAATCTCACTTCATTCCCACATGTTGCACATTCATACATATTTGCACTCCATCCTACACTCATGCACTTTTCAAGCAAACTGAAGCTTATCGCTTAAGTTTTGCAATAAATTTATTTTTGAGAAGGCCATGCACTACAAATAGAAAATACAAATTCAGGGCACAACATTACTACTTCACAACTGGATCTTCTCTTCCACAACTGGCATATAAGAGAGAATCAAATGAAAATGGAACAGTAGGCACAAAATGAAAAGGTATTATTTATTTTCAAATGTAATCAAAGAGTTTTGCTGATATTGAAACCAGTTTTGAGCTGTCCTCATGACTTCGCTGTTGGAGTGAATACATCAATCCTGCAATGCCCTTTTTTTAGCGGACCAAAGATGTTAAGTCACATAATAAAAGGTCAGGGTTGTATGGTGGGTGTTCCAACACACTCCACCAAATTCCCCCTCCACGCATAATAAAACATTCAGAGAATCTCGATTCTTAATTTCACTTAAATTATTAATTATTAATTTATTATTATTAATAATAATAATAAATAATAATTATAATTCGACACTAAATAAAATACCTTGTTATTGAAGAAACA